ATTTTTTTTTTTGAAAACCCAACCCATGGGTAAAGTTTCCAATATTTGGCCTTTTCTCTTGCTTCTCTGCAAAACAGTTCATAATTATACTAAATTATTCACAAACAACCAAATCACCTTCTTGTTTGAACGCCCTTAAATTTTAGTACTACCTGTCATTATTTTCTGGGTAAAATGTCGATACACTCGGACTCGGCGTCATTCGTTATGCAATCTATCTTGCTTAGGTTCTCGTTCACACTGACCATGGAAAAATAACCTCCTTTCTTTGACTTTTTCTGATTGAATGGTTATTAATTTGCCGGCAATGGCGTAAGCAGTGCCGTCATCGAAACCCACAAGTGGCAAGCTACAATACCACATATATTGATGCGTATTTAAAGAGACAAAGTGTCATTGTATGAGTAGCTTCACTCAAAACAGCAAGTGAAGGACTCAGCCACACTTCTAACTTCCACTGTTGAACATTTACGAAGCCTGAACGTGTTGAGAATCATCGGCCTTTGGGTTCATCTATCTCATATCTCATCTGGGTACGCTCTCTTCTCGCAAAATTGTTGGTGATTGTGCTTTTAATTTTGTTTTTTACTTGGTGATCGGTTTGAAGTTTACCAACAGATTGATGTATCAATAACTTCAATTTGTTTTCCCTCTCCTCCTTTCCCTGGATTACTTCTTGTTTTATGTATATAAGAAAAGATAATCGTAATCAATAATTGTCTTTTGTCAATTTCGAAGTTTTCTTTTTTTGAACAGAATTTCAAATATCCAAACTTGAACCTCAGTACTTTTTACAATTTCTGGATGTATGGATATGGTGTTTTGAACTTAATCATCCGAGCCAGTGGTCTAGTCGTAATCCGCACGTATTTCGGGTTGTTCTTGACTCCCATATAGTTATCAAGAAAGGAGTAACGTGGTTTGGTGATTGACTTTGGTGGTGCTGTAGAGAGAAGTTACATTTCGATTAGTAGCTATGCCTCAAACTGAATATTCCAAGTTGGATGACCTGATCATGCCCAGGGCTATTTCGTACTGGTCGCCCCTTCCCCCTCACCACTAAACAAAAAAAAAAAAAAAAACCGTCACATGGTGCTTATTTGGGAATTATCTCAACAGCTTAGTTGTAGAACAGTAAGTTATTTATATTCTTATATTGATGAATGAATTAGAAGATGACCCATTATGGTACTCCTAATTGCAGTTCTGTCACCTGTTATATCTTGATTTTTGTCTCTCAGAAGTATATGTGCTCTGTAACTTGTTTTTGGCAACTTTTTTGGATGAAAACAGGTCTCTAAAGGTAAACTCTGTGAACAGAGAGAGAGTCTCTTTCAGTCTAGCTCTGTTATTGCTGGTTCAAAGACTAGAAAGTAATTAGAAGTTTTTGAACCAAAAGAAATGACTTGTAACTAAGATTTGTTATTACTTCTCAAGTGAATTGGAGGGGGGAACCCCCATCAGCAATGAGATGTTATGTGGCATGTGTTATATATATGTCTCCATTACTAGTTTACTACTGCTCTGGTCCTACATAGTGTATTCTAGATTAACTTAAATGTTCATCCTCCCTACAGATATATTGACAGAAAGAGAAATAAATGGCGCGTTGTCCTCAAGTTTGGTTACTTTTCCTAGCCATTTTGTTCTTGGTAATAAGTGTTCAAAATTCACAAGCTCGTCTAAGAGACGAAAATGGAGTAAAATCTGGGGTATTTCTATCACCCAAGTTTGTGCTGGAACCAGGATCAGTGGCGAACAAATTCTACTACAATATTGACTTTCCTAGAGGTCATATTTCTATCAAGGAGTTCAATGCTGAAGTGGTTGATGAGGCAGGAAATCCTATCCCCCTTTACGAAACTTATCTCCATCACTGGCTTGTTCTGAGATACTACCAACGTAAAGGTGTTGAAATTTCAAATTTCAATGATAATTTGGGTTTCCATCAATCGGATACTATTATTGTGAGGAATAGTGGGTTATGTGAGGCTGGCCTTTCTCAATATTTTGGCCTTGGATCTGAGACACGAAAAACAGCCACACATGTGCCGGATCCTTATGGAATAGAAGTTGGTAATCTGGCAGAAATTCCTGATGGGTATGAGGAGAAATGGTTGCTCAATGTGCATGCTATTGATACACGGGGTGTAGAAGATAGGTTGGGGTGCATTGAATGCAGGTGTGATTTGTACAATGTTACAGAGGATGAACATGGCCAGCCTTTGAAGCCACATTATGTAGGGGGCTTGTATTGTTGCTATGATGAGACACGATGTAGATTGAGAAAAGGCTTTGATAGTGCCAAGAGAAGCCTCTACTTGAGGTACACAGTCAAGTGGGTTGATTGGGATAACTCTATTGTTCCTGTAAATATATATATATTTGATGTTACTGATACATGGAAAAGGTCTGATCAATCAACAGGACTCAGTAGAAGACATGATTGCGCGGTGAGTGAGCATTTTTATATATGGTTCATTGGATTTATCATCTTGAAATGGCTTGCATAGCCTTGGAGATAATTTATGGACCTCTCATTCGAGTTGTCTTTACTGTACACTTCTCTATACACTATGCATTCACCTTAATGTTCGAAAATGTTATAATTGAAGATCTCCTGGTTCAGAGGCAAAGTTGAATCCCGACAAAAAAAAAAAATAACAATTGCAATGTTTAATTTGATGCAAATTTACAAGTAGTCAATAGCAACACATGGTTGTATAAATCTTCTACTTGGCGATGTCTTATAATTTGTATAGCATCTCTGTCTTCTTATTGATTTATCATCTTTCTGGCTACTGAATCCATTGAACTGTCTTGCTACAGATTGAGTATGATATTGAATCTTGTTCCACTAGCATGGTTAGTGACAGTTGCAATAATACCAAAAGGGTGAGCCTTAGTCTGCCCACTGGTGGTGATGTCATCTACGCTGTTGGTCACCAGCATGCCGGGGGGATTGGTTCAACTTTATATGGAGAGGTGAGTTTCTTTATTTGACTTCTTGTTTCGCCACATGCCTTTTCAAATCACTTGATTGCATATATTTTCATCTGCTAGGTCTGTAATAGTCTTACCATCCCAAGTGCCTTCTTTGATGATTTTCAAGACTTACCAGTTGAAATGCATTATGCAATGCTAGTAGCTCTTCAAAGCATAGCTCGTTGTTATACATACAAACATATATTTATATGTATTAGTTGACGTACACGTGAGTTGCACGTGAACGGTTTAAATTATTTTATTGAGCAGTATAGTGTTTTCATTATTTATGCGTAGCGGTAGTGATGCAATTTAAATTTGTAGAGGGAGCAAGAGCATGTGATTCGACAAGATCAAGATTAGCATTCCTAATATCAACAAAACAGCCATCAATTTTTTACAGAGAGTAGGTATCGAAAAAGAACATTATCAATGTAATTCATTGTTACCCAGCAAACTTTTAGAAGAAAAACTTCCCTTGTAGTGGTCTTTTGCGGAAATCTCATAATGCTACAACTTTTTCTACCTCCGTGGAAAAGAAAATATTTATTTTAGGTTAAAAACATATCACTCATGCACAAAAAAGGTGTTTAAGACTTGACAGCACTATAACAAAATGTGGGTACCATATTGAAATTGATCGAAAATCATTGATTTTATTTTAATTGATTTAGAGCCATTGACTGTAAACATAATTATATAATATGATAACAAATAAAAAATTTATTAGTGTCAAAATTTTATTAACTTTCCAAGTCGTAATTAGATCCAACACACATCACACAATACACAATAATATACTCACATGCACTCAAATGGGCTGAGTGACATACCACAAAGTTCTCTCCATATATACCCTTCACAAACTCGTACACACAACACTACTCACATGAGACACTTGCACATTAAACTTGAACACAATCACTTCTTGACACTTTCTCACAAGGCACATACACACTTACTCAATACTCGCACTCAGTTNCACAATAATATACTCACATGCACTCAAATGGGCTGAGTGACATACCACAAAGTTCTCTCCATATATACCCTTCACAAACTCGTACACACAACACTACTCACATGAGACACTTGCACATTAAACTTGAACACAATCACTTCTTGACACTTTCTCACAAGGCACATACACCACTTACTCAATACTCACACTCAGGTNCCATATATACCCTTCACAAACTCGTACACACAACACTACTCACATGAGACACTTGCACATTAAACTTGAACACAATCACTTCTTGACACTTTCTCACAAGGCACATACACACTTACTCAATACTCGCACTCAGTTTCACTTCTCATGGAGACCCAAAAATCTCTCAAACTTGTTTTGTCCATTTCAAGGGCGGTGTTCGCCTGCCAGGACAAGCTAGAAAACTTAATCGAAGGTGGTGAGGAAGTTTCTCAATATACTATCTCTTATTTGTGGTATGGTGCAAGAATACCAAATGGTTGACATCAAAAGTTACGATTTCACATTGGGGAAGAGTAAATAAATACCAAAGGNGGCGGTGTTCGCCTGCCAGGACAAGCTAGAAAACTTAATCGAAGGTGGTGAGGAAGTTTCTCAATATACTATCTCTTATTTGTGGTATGGTGCAACGTTCTTGAATACCAAATGGTTGACATCAAAAGTTACGATTTCACATTGGGGAAGAGTAAATAAATAGCAAAAGNGTTTCTCAATATACTATCTCTTATTTGTGGTATGGTGCAAGAATACCAAATGGTTGACATCAAAAGTTACGATTTCACATTGGGGAAGAGTAAATAAATACCAAAGGTTAGATAGATTTGAAAAGAGAAATATATGATGGGAAGATGAAAATTTTGGTTAATGAGGAAGTAAATAGATCAAATGAAATAGTTCTCAACTTACCGTATATTGATGAGGTATAAATAGGGTGATTGCCCATTTGCTTGCATTTGACAAATTTGGTGACTGTCCGCTTCCTTACTTAACACAAGATGATATACTCAATGCCCGCAAATCAGTTACACTATCTATTAATCAAGGNGTCCGCTTCCTTACTTAACACAAGATGATATACTCAATGCCCGCAAATCAGTTACATTATCTATTAATCAAGGAAAATTTGATTACTTAAGGATGAAATTAGTAAACATTCTCTCTTATAATTANTCCACTTCCTTACTTAACACAAGATGATATACTCAATGCCCGCAAATCAGTTACACTATCTATTAAGAATAGAAAATTTGATTACTTAAGGATGAAATTAGTAAACATTGTTTCACTTATAATAAACTCTAAAAGGGTAATATTGGTATTAGTTATTTTAATAAGGTTATTATAGGCAAATAAAAGTTTCGCTTTTGTTGAAATTTTATAGTATAAATATGTATATACTAGTTATTGTTTGTGCCTAAAGGCACAGAGTAATAAAAAATGATAAATAATAAATATACTTGTATTAATNTGCAGACCCATCACCAAAACCTGAATCGATCTTGCATGCTCCATTTGAAGTAAGATATTGCCCCTTTTTTTTTTCCTNTTATTGTTTGTGCCTAAAGGCACAGAGTAATAAAAAATGATAAATAATAAATATACTTGTATTAATATCCAAAATCAAAGAATTTAAGCATCGGTTTGTAGTGGGGGTGAAAAGTGGTGGGCAACAGTGGTGGTAAGAGACAGTGATGATTGTGGTGAGTGTTAATGACGGTGGTGGCGGCGGTAGTGGTGATAGTGGTAGTGGCGGCAATGGTGGTGATGGCGATGGTGGTGGTGATAGCAGTGGTGGGGNTAATTTGTCACTGTCAAAATTTAGAGAGTTCTAGTTCTAACATTTAAAGTAGTCAGAGGATTACACTTTTAACAATTAAATTTTTTCCTCCGGCGATGAAATGAATAAAAAAAAAGATTTATTTTTCAAAACTGTAGATTCTAAAACAATGTCGTTTTATTACTTAGTGTTTGAAAAAATTACTTCCAAGTGAAAATGAGTGATTTTTTGGTTAAAATTCAAAGAAATTTTTTTTTTGATTTGTTTCTCCCTTNGACAGTAGTGGTAGTGGTGGCGGTGGCGGTGGTGGCAACGACGGTGGCGGCGGCGGCGGCAACGGTGTTGGAGGTGGTGGTGATGGTGATGGTGATGGTGATGGCGGTGGCGGTGGTGGGGGTAGAGGTAGTGGTGAGACGGTTTCAAATACTATTTTTTTTTTTTAAAGTATTTATGAGAAATAATTTCTAAAAATACTTTAAAAAAGTTATTTCAAACACACCACTAGAAACCNGAATGCGTTGATGTATTTGGGAATAACAAGATTTTTGTTTTCATTATGCTAAGAGATGCGACTGATTGTGAACTTAGAAAATATTCATAGAGATCCATAAGGACACTGAACGAGGAAATGGGTGCTTGAGTTAACGGTCTTATTAAAAGGGCGTATTCAGTGCACGAAGCTTTCATCATTGTAGAGTTTGAGAAGAGTTAGATGTACACAGTTTTATCCCCACAAACAGAGAGGCTGTTGCGCCAAGGTCCATCGCCCTGANCAAAAGTCATTTTGTTTATTTTTTGAGATTTGAATTGTAAGCTATTTTATTATATATGTGTCATATTCAATGTCAATTATTTTGCAAGTAGTAATTTTGAAACTTTAGGAAGCTTGATGCACAATTTTTTTTGTTTGCGTCCCCTGTTTGGGGCTAACCAAAAATTATGGAGATTCTCTTACCCTAATGCCTGCTTACCTGGTAGAAACTGATAATTATAACTTAGCAAAAGGCGATTAGCACCTTTGTGATCATAGGCAGATTAACCTTGTGTCCCTCTTGCTAGTGTGTATTTCGGCCTGAGTCCTTTTCAAAGAAGAAAAATGTCTCTATCCTTGGTGAGCATGACTTTGTGGATGTTTTGCAGCCAAATGCCTCCTTTAAAAGTGCTCCTTGCAGGTTTGCCATTGATGTGTCTAAGCTTTCATTGAAATATATTTTGTTTGCAGGATACAACATTACAACCCAAAGCTAAGTTTCTCCAAGTGTATTTACACTTGCAAGCCTGAGGGCTTTACCTTAATCTAAGAGTGTAGGCATGATGCTGAACTTAATATGAAGTGTGATGCCTTTTTTCTCGTGAAACTACTTGTTTTTTTTTTTTTTTTAAATAGAGTAATCAAACATGGTACTTGATGATTGCTATGTGTCTTTTTTATCATGTCAAACTTTTCAAGTTGGATGGGGTTGATGTGTTTGTCCAACATTTTTCTTGTCTGGTGAATTGATTTAGGATGGACGGGTTATTTGCAAATCAATACCAACTTATGGAGAAGGAAAGGAAGCAGGAAATGAGGCTGGTTATATTGTAGGAATGTCCACCTGCTATCCTCAACCTGGGTCTGTCAAGGTATCTGAAGGGGAGACTCTGATTCTGGAATCTAATTATAACAGTGCCCAAAGGCATACTGGAGTTATGGGGCTCTTCTACATTTTGGTTGCAGACCCATCACCAAAACCTGAATCGATCTTGCATGCTCCATTTGAAGTAAGATCTTGCCCCTTTTTTTTTCTTNGCAGACCCATCACCAAAACCTGAATCGATCTTGCATGCTCCATTTGAAGTAAGATATTGCCCCTTTTTTTTTTCCTTTCAAAATCGTTCTCTCTTACATTTTATGTGGTCATATTTAAGGTTGTTAAAACGTGTATCGGAAGGCATATTATTTTCAAAAATAGTATACCGTGTATCGTAACGTTTCATGTATTCTAACATACGTGCAATTTTATAAAAGATATTAAAAAATACAAGAACCAAAACAAAATGTCATAATAACATTTTATTTCACTACAGATTTCTCACATAAAACAATTTGAAGAGATTACAAGAACTAAAACAAAAACTTAATAATCTAAGTCTTGAAGGTTCTAATATAATTTGTCACTGTCAAAATTTAGAGAGTTCTAGTTCTAACATTTAAAGTAGTCAGAGGATTACACTTTTAACAATTAAATTATTTCCTCCGGCGATGAAACGAATAAAAAAAAAGATTTATTTTTCAAAACTGTAGATTCTAAAACAATGTCGTTTTATTACGTAGTGTTTGAAAAAATTACTTCCAAGTGAAAATGAGTGATTTTTTCGTTAAAATTCAAAGAAATTTTTTTTTTGATCTGTTTCTCCCCTTATCGGACAACTCATATGTATCGTCATATCGGGTGTATCGTTTCCTGTATCACAAGATACAATGTAAACCAATACACTTAAGCAATACATACTGTCTTTTTTCATGTATCTTATGTATCGTATCGTGTATCGTACGATATTAACAACTATGCTTATATTAATCAATTAGAACGATGAGGGGTGAATGCGTTGATGTATTTGGGAATAACAAGATTTTTGTTTTCATTATGCTAAGAGATGCGACTGATTGTGAACTTCGAAAATATTCATAGAGATCCATAAGGACACTGAACGAGGAAATGGGTGCTTGAGTTAACGGTCTTATTAAAAGGGCGCATTCAGTGCACGAAGCTCTCATCATTATAGAGTTTCAGAAGAGTTAGATGTACACAGTTTTATCCCCACAAACAGAGAGGCTGTTGCGCCAAGGTCCATCGCCCTAAGTTAAGAGTCTTCTTAAATAACATGGTACTTGTCACTTGCAGGTGTATGAAAAGCTGGCAATACCCAATTTTGTTTGGGTCATAGCATTGTTTGGAACGGCAGTAGCTATTGCAGTTTATGGACGAAGGACCCGAAGGGAGAATGTTTACCAATCAATAGTGATGTGAGCTTATTTCTCCATGTTTTGGTCATGTGATGCAACACAAAAAAGCTGTTGGATAGTTTCACTCATCTGTAAGCATCCATAATGTAATTTCTATGTGGTAAAATAATGAAAGCCTTTGTCTCTAAACCTAGTTCTTGTTCTTCCCCTACTAATCCATATACATACATATCAACCTCATTATTCATAACTGTCGGAGGGTGTTGATTAGGCCTACCAATTGTGTTAGGTGAGACAGATTTGTGTCAAATCTTAGCGAGTTTGTGTCAGAAAGTATTCTATCCATACTTGATTAGTTTATTAATTCATTTTTAATGAATCATGTCATATCGGGTTCATGTCGTATATAAATCATGTATAATTGATAAATACAAGAGTCGTGTCATGTATTTTTATTGATTGATTTTATCTATATCCGATTTGTTTATTAATTGTGTCGTGTCGTGTCGTGTCACGGTCACTCGTTTACAAAATGGGTGACTTAAGAAAATTCAAATTNGAAATTTTTTTTTTGATCTGTTTCTCCCCTTATCGGACAACTCATATGTATCGTCATATCGGGTGTATCGTTTCCTGTATCACAAGATACAATGTAAACCAATACACTTAAGCAATACATACTGTCTTTTTTCATGTATCTTATGTATCGTATCGTGTATCGTACGATATTAACAACTATGCTTATATTAATCAATTAGAACGATGAGGGGTGAATGCGTTGATGTATTTGGGAATAACAAGATTTTTGTTTTCATTATGCTAAGAGATGCGACTGATTGTGAACTTCGAAAATATTCATAGAGATCCATAAGGACACTGAACGAGGAAATGGGTGCTTGAGTTAACGGTCTTATTAAAAGGGCGCATTCAGTGCACGAAGCTCTCATCATTATAGAGTTTCAGAAGAGTTAGATGTACACAGTTTTATCCCCACAAACAGAGAGGCTGTTGCGCCAAGGTCCATCGCCCTAAGTTAAGAGTCTTCTTAAATAACATGGTACTTGTCACTTGCAGGTGTATGAAAAGCTGGCAATACCCAATTTTGTTTGGGTCATAGCATTGTTTGGAACGGCAGTAGCTATTGCAGTTTATGGACGAAGGACCCGAAGGGAGAATGTTTACCAATCAATAGTGATGTGAGCTTATTTCTCCATGTTTTGGTCATGTGATGCAACACAAAAAAGCTGTTGGATAGTTTCACTCATCTGTAAGCATCCATAATGTAATTTCTATGTGGTAAAATAATGAAAGCCTTTGTCTCTAAACCTAGTTCTTGTTCTTCCCCTACTAATCCATATACATACATATCAACCTCATTATTCATAACTGTCGGAGGGTGTTGATTAGGCCTACCAATTGTGTTAGGTGAGACATATTTGTGTCAAATCTTAGCGAGTTTGTGTGAGAAAGTATTCTATCCATACTTGATTAGTTTATTAATTCATTTTGAATGAATCATGTCATATCGGGTTCATGTCGTATATAAATCATGTATAATTGATAAAAACAAGAGTCGTGTCATGTATTTTTATTGATTGATTTTATCTATATCCGATTTGTTTATTAATTGTGTCGTGTCGTGTCACGGCCACTCGTTTACAAAATGGGTGACTTAAGAAAATTCAAACTCTTTAATTTCGTGTCGTATTAATGGATCGTGTCATATTTTGACACCTCTGGTGTCGATTGTTTGGTTCTACGTTGTGGCTTGCATTAAACCCTGTATACATGTTTTGCTAGAAGATGTATATTTTAGTGCATGCAGAATTGTAACCTTTGTTATNTTTCAAAATCGTTCTCTCTTACATTTTATGTGGTCATATTTAAGGTTGTTAAAACGTGTATCGGAAGGCATATTATTTTCAAAAATAGTATACCGTGTATCGTAACGTTTCATGTATTCTAACATACGTGCAATTTTATAAAAGATATTAAAAAATACAAGAACCAAAACAAAATGTCATAATAACATTTTATTTCACTACAGATTTCTCACATAAAACAATTTGAAGAGATTACAAGAACTAAAACAAAAACTTAATAATCTAAGTCTTGAAGGTTCTAATATAATTTGTCACTGTCAAAATTTAGAGAGTTCTAGTTCTAACATTTAAAGTAGTCAGAGGATTACACTTTTAACAATTAAATTATTTCCTCCGGCGATGAAACGAATAAAAAAAAAGATTTATTTTTCAAAACTGTAGATTCTAAAACAATGTCGTTTTATTACGTAGTGTTTGAAAAAATTACTTCCAAGTGAAAATGAGTGATTTTTTCGTTAAAATTCAAAGAAATTTTTTTTTTGATCTGTTTCTCCCCTTATCGGACAACTCATATGTATCGTCATATCGGGTGTATCGTTTCCTGTATCACAAGATACAATGTAAACCAATACACTTAAGCAATACATACTGTCTTTTTTCATGTATCTTATGTATCGTATCGTGTATCGTACGATATTAACAACTATGCTTATATTAATCAATTAGAACGATGAGGGGTGAATGCGTTGATGTATTTGGGAATAACAAGATTTTTGTTTTCATTATGCTAAGAGATGCGACTGATTGTGAACTTCGAAAATATTCATAGAGATCCATAAGGACACTGAACGAGGAAATGGGTGCTTGAGTTAACGGTCTTATTAAAAGGGCGCATTCAGTGCACGAAGCTCTCATCATTATAGAGTTTCAGAAGAGTTAGATGTACACAGTTTTATCCCCACAAACAGAGAGGCTGTTGCGCCAAGGTCCATCGCCCTAAGTTAAGAGTCTTCTTAAATAACATGGTACTTGTCACTTGCAGGTGTATGAAAAGCTGGCAATACCCAATTTTGTTTGGGTCATAGCATTGTTTGGAACGGCAGTAGCTATTGCAGTTTATGGACGAAGGACCCGAAGGGAGAATGTTTACCAATCAATAGTGATGTGAGCTTATTTCTCCATGTTTTGGTCATGTGATGCAACACAAAAAAGCTGTTGGATAGTTTCACTCATCTGTAAGCATCCATAATGTAATTTCTATGTGGTAAAATAATGAAAGCCTTTGTCTCTAAACCTAGTTCTTGTTCTTCCCCTACTAATCCATATACATACATATCAACCTCATTATTCATAACTGTCGGAGGGTGTTGATTAGGCCTACCAATTGTGTTAGGTGAGACAGATTTGTGTCAAATCTTAGCGAGTTTGTGTCAGAAAGTATTCTATCCATACTTGATTAGTTTATTAATTCATTTTTAATGAATCATGTCATATCGGGTTCATGTCGTATATAAATCATGTATAATTGATAAATACAAGAGTCGTGTCATGTATTTTTATTGATTGATTTTATCTATATCCGATTTGTTTATTAATTGTGTCGTGTCGTGTCGTGTCACGGTCACTCGTTTACAAAATGGGTGACTTAAGAAAATTCAAATTCTTTAATTTCGTGTCGTATTAATGGATCGTGTCATATTTTGACACCTCTGGTGTCGATTGTTTGGTTCTACGTTGTGGCTTGCATTAAACCCTGTATACATGTTTTGCTAGAAGATGTATATTTTAGTGCATGCAGAATTGTAACCTTTGTTATAGGCTTAGAGCCCCTTTTTGGGAGGAAAATGGGCAGAGTTGAGTATGGCTGGCTCACGCACTGGCTGGGTGATTAATAAGGTGGCTTGTGTAAAAGTTTACGAGCATAATCAATACCTAGCTGCTAGGGATTATTTATAGAATAAATTGCACTTCACTTTACACTCAGTTAGCTACCGTTGCAATCACATAGTATCTCCTCTCTATCAAGTTTTTTTGGTTTAACAGTGTCCGGACTAGTTTAAAGACACCTCCTTTTTATACAATGTTATTGTATTCACAATAGTTTGCACTGGTCTTTCTTTTAATTTGAACAGATGTTTGCAATTGGGGTAATGGGACAACATAGTTGGAGGTGGAGAGAAATATGATGACTGATATGGCAATGCCAAGGTTGAACATGAGTTCTAGGTTGAAGGACTCAAAGTGTAATTATTACTTAGCTTATATGCCTGACAAAAAAATAATGAGTAATTTACTAAGGGTGTCAATTTGTGTCGCATGATCTGCGTATTGTTATTTTCGTGCCGCTCATTATAATTCGTATCTTGTTGGTGTAAATACGAAAAAATAAGAAAAAATTTATTTAATGTATTATAAGTGTCAAACATTAATCCAACTCACTTATTATGCATATTTATCAATAATTTCAATTTTAGAATCATGTCAGATTTGTGTTGATGGGTCAGATTGACACCAATTTAGGCTATGTTTGGCTGCTTCCTGGGTCGTGGAATTGGAATTTGCAATTAAGCTACTTGAAATGTGCACTAGTTTTGCTCCAATACTTGTTTCACAAATACCACTTCTAGGACAAGTCTATGGTACACAATAAAAAAAAAATCGATATTGTGTCATCATTTATTATATTTTGAATGTTTTTAGGGTTTATGGTATTTTTAGTCCCTAAAATTAATATATTTTTTGTTTCATTGTATCAATTTTGTCAATTTAGTTCCTAATAAAATATTCAGTTTATGTCAATTTAGTCACTACATAAACAGATCGTCTAAAAAATGACACTTAGCCACTTTCTTACATTACTAGTGTGCATATATTTAATACTCCATCTGTTCCTAAACATTTGTAGTTTTACATAATTTTTTTTGTTCCATAATATCTATTGTTTAATAAAATCAAAGCATAATTAATATTTTTTCTTCCAAATTTATCCTTAACTTTTCAATGCATTAGATTAGGTGGAGGTTAAGTGTCTTTCATATTCCTTTCCTTCCTAATACGTATTGAATAAGGGTATTGTCATCTTGTGTAATTAATTTTTACTCATATTATAATTATTTAATAGCTTCTTTAATTCCTGTGTAAAAACCTTAAACAACATATATTTAAGAATAGATAAAGTATATTTTTTGTCTCATTATATCAATTTTGTCAATTTGGTCTCTAATAAAATATTCAGTTTATG